CACTCCAGACTTTTTGGGGTTTGAGCCCTTTAGATGCTGGTTTAGCTCCTGGGGGGCTGTTTTTTATTTTATTTGACATATTTTATTTTTTTGACATTTATTTAGGGGAAATGTAACAGGATTCTTTCTTTTCTAATTCATATTTCAAATGATTATTTTCAAAGTATTCAAAATATTTTATTAATTGAATAATTAAAAGGTTCCCAAACTCCCAAAGACAGTTGTCACGCCCCCCCATAGGCAATGACAAAAATGGGAGACAGACGAGCGGATCTCAGTAAACAATTTATTTGTTTCGAAGAAAGGTATGCGCTTAGAGGACTGTTCAGCCAGTGCGAGAGAAGTGAGGAGCAGTGCTGCCTGTTCCGGTCAAGTCCGGAGGCCAACCAAGCAGCCCCGGTGACTGACTAGATGCCCGTATTTATTAGACACCGGGTGCGTTCAATCAACAGTCCATCCACCTGCTTCCTGAAAGAACAAAAACAAATAGTGGACTAGACTAGAGACCCCTACTGGATAGGAGGGGGCTGTCACACAGTGAATTATTTTGGAGCCAATTCTAGGAATTACAGTGTATTCTGATGGAAAATTTGAACCAACACACCAATATTTAACACAGAAGTCCTCCTGGAACCAGTTACACTCCCATTTAGAGGTATATAAACGTCTCTGAATCTGACCTTTGACCCCTCTATGGTTCCTCTCCGGGGTTAGCTGGTCATTACTGTCCTAATCAGCTCCTCACTCCAGATATCTGAGGCTCATTTCTGTCTCAGAGGCTCGGTATTTCTCCTCGGTTTATCGGTTTAATCCTTTTTGTCGTGTGTAAAGCGTTTTAAAGCCGCCATTAGTTATTGTCTCTTATCTGGGGAAGATAATTAATTCAGCTAAAATCAGCTAAAATCAGGATCCCGTTTGTTTGAGGGATATTGGGGGAAGTGGAAGCTAACCGCTCATTTTCTCTGTTCTGGATGTTAAAGAGGCAGAACGCCACATTTCAGGTTTAAGTTGTTTCACCTGTCAGCAGACGGCTTAAAAAGCTCAAACCCTGATCAGTAAATAAGCAAAACCACAGAAAGAGGAGCTCGTCAAAGCTTAAAAATACCAAACACACAAAAAACAACTAAACTGGAACACAAATAACAGCATTAGTGTCAGAGATGGATGAACAGATTAGAGTTATTCACCTTTAGAGGCTCAGTTTTAAACCAGTAAAACTCGGCTTCTCAACACTTTCATGATTTGGACGATTTCCCTGATTTGTTATTTTTATTTATTTATTTTTTTTATTGATGTTTTTGCAGGACAGATACAGACAAGCACACATTATTATTACAGTCACACGAATCAGAAAAACATCTTATCAGAAAATGCCAAGTGTTTTGGGGGGAACAAATAACTAGAAAAACAAGGGGGGAAAAAAACATAAAAGAAAAAGAAATGTAATTAAAAATAAACATAAATTGAAGAAAATTTTATAAAAAGAAAACATACATTTTTCCCCCTTCCTTTAAAAAAAAAAGAAGGAAAAAAAAACATATATATATTCAACAAAGCAGAAAACAAGCCAGATCTAGGATTTTCCCTGATTTCTGATCATTTTGTCAAAAACTAGATTTGCTGGATCTCTTGTTGCTGTTTGGAGGGTCCAGACTGATCTGTGCTGCGTTTTTATTGACGAGCGTCTTCAGTAAAACATCCGGAGCTCGTTCTGTTGGATAAAACATCGGTTTAATGAGCTCCGGTCTGAACGGTTACCACGGTTACCACGGTTACCGTTCATCCTCAGCTCACAGACAGAAGAGCTGGAGGCTGCCAGGTCTCTCACAGGTCTCCCGTTTATTTAGCCTCAAGTGTTTTAAATTAAACCGTGATTTAAATTAAAACGTGAATTCAGCCTCCTGCTGCTCCGGTTTATTTCTTCAACTCACTTTATTTTGGTAAATTGTCCACATTAAAAACAAGAAACAACAAAAGGAAAAAAACAAAAAGAACAATAGACAAACCCACAGTTTACCAAAAAAGGAATAGGCCGAAGCAAAGCTTATTCTTGCTTATTCCACCCTATTTTTTACCTTACAACCTACCAGGATTTCTTCAAATTCAGATTCAAGTACATAGTACATATATAGATCTACATAACAGCGTAAGATTTTATCATTTTACATTTTAAAGCTCTTTTAAAGTTCACCAAGAAAGGACATAACTTAAATTCATAATTCAATTCATTCCACAGTTTCACACCAATAACTGAAACACATCTAGACTTTATCTGACTTTTCTCTTTTGCACATTGTTTACCGTCTGAGTCTCATTTATTCTCCGTTTCAGTTTAGAAAACGACCGTAAAGAGGAGATTCTGCTTTGAGTCTGTTCATCTGAGTCCATCTCATTCTCAGATCTGAACCGAATTCCTGAAGAAAAGTCTGAGTTTGTTCACTCTCTGGCCTCCTTCAGACTCCAAAAGTACAATTCAGAGACAAAAACAAATCCATATTCTCCTGATCTGAGTCATGAAATATTAAAAAGCATCATGTGGAGCACATGGTCCGCATTTGTGATTCGAATCTGAATAGAAGACATTCTAGATTTGAGATTCAAAAGTGCTTTTTTAAAATCATTCTGAGGGAAATTGCTGTGCAACACTATACAAGGTGGAAAATAAAAGGAAATAAATCAATAATA